GCCTATGAAGCGGTATATAAGTCTACTGCTATATTGCTATTGCCCATGTACTCATTTCTATATCAATCTTATATGTTTTAGCAATTAATCCTATTGTCATCCAAATCATGTCTATTCTTGACCATGATATATGTCTGTTTGAATAAAATGTATATTGCTTTTCTTTCAGATGTCTTCTTCTCCACACATCCTATAGACTTAATTCATCTATAGAATGTTTTGGGGATTGTTCTTCTTAGCTTCTTTTTCAATTTTGTAGTTTTATAATCCAACTCATTATTTACAATCACATTAAAATCTCCTATTAAACACGTCTTTGTGTTCATATTCTATTATGTTTCTGTGTAATTTCCCATTAAATTCTTCTTGATTCTCATTTGGTGTGTATATTGCCACCAACAATATTTTTTTACAATTCATTGTTATTTCCATTATTAGTATTTTCCCCTCCTCATATATTTGCTTTGATTGAATTGTCTTTTTAATATATAGTGCTACCTCTCTTTTACTTTGACAGGCAAGTTCTGTGTATAAGTTTTTAAATTTTGGATAGTCCAAAAACTTTTTGTGGTTTTTTTTATGTGCACTTCTTGCAGACATATAATATCTAACTTTAATTTCTCTAGTTTATTAAATGTTCTTTTCCTTTTTATTTCTGAATTTAGTCTGTTTATATTTATTGAAATTACTCTTATCTCTTCTTCCATGTCTTATTTGCTTGTGGGTTTAGTTGATCTAGTTGCTCTTATTTCCCTTTGTTCTTTTATCTCCTTTGCTCTTGTCCTTTCTCTTAATGCTTTTTCTTCTTGTTCTTTACTTAACTCTCTTGATACTTCTCCTTCTCTGTTTGATATTTAATTCCTCTTTCCTCTCTCAATCTCTCTTCCTCTTGTAATCCAAAATAGTGTTCATAAAATAACTCTGCTTTCTCTATTGAGTCCAGTTTGTGTCTTTGTTCCTGCCAATTCACTAATATCCCTTCTGGTATTAGCCATCTGAAATTCACTCCTTTTTTAATCAGATATTTGGTCAAGAATTGATATTCTTTTCTTAGGTCTCTAACCTTTCTTGGTATTTGCTTCAACACCACTATCTCTCTGGCTTTGTATTTTATCATAGTATTTCTTGCAGCCTGCAAAAACTCTGTTCTTGATGTTTTCTTAATAAATCTTACACGTACCTCTCTAAGCAGATTGTTTCTCATGGCATACCTTGTGTGTTTCCTATATATTTCATCATTCCCATTTAACACCCTTTTTTTACTCTCTTCAAATGCTTCCACGAAAATCTCTGCAATCTTTTCGGCTAAGTTCTCCCCTTTTTCTTCTTCAATATTTTGGAATCTTAAGTAATAATCAGCTGTATCCATTTCCCAGAATATATTTATCCTTCTTATCTGTTATTGCAGATTATCTCCTCCACCTTTTTCTCTGTTACTTCCACTTTTTCTACCTTCTGTAGTCTTTGTTCATTTTTCTCTTTCTCTTTCTCTCCCTCCCACCCACCTCTCCTTACATCTTTNGGGTACAGACATCAAACAGGCACACCATACACACCACATTCATTAAAATTCGCGGAGCACTGTGCTAGTGTGATATAAAAGTGATGGTATAAAGGAGGAGGGAGAGCTGCTCCGCTCCTCTCCCTTCCTCTAGGTCCCAGAAAGACACCCAAGGCCAAAGGTCCAAAAGTCGGGATTGTGCAGGGTGATTGTAGATGGAGTGGGGCAAGGTGTAGACGGCCAATGTTAGCAAGCAGCAACTTGCTAACATTGGCAGGGGGATGGGGAGGGAGCTGAAACCGGTTCTAAACAGCACTGTAGATTTGTGGAACCTCTTCTATAGAAGAGGTTAGAACTGGCAGGAACCCACCCCTGCTAGGGATGCAACAGGCCACCTGCTTAAGACCACCCAAGGTCTCCTCAACCCACTTAAATACTTCATGCTCCCCACAACTGCTTTCCCCCCCTCCCATACTGTTGCATGGGTCACTTACCATGCAAAGATCTAGCAAGCTGTCTCTTCTCCAGCCTCTCAGCCGCGCACGCCCCTCCAACGCTCCCTTTGGGCCTTCAGAGGCCTCGCCCACCACTTTGCAGGCCGAAACGGAGCTCCGTTCCAACCAGCAAAGTGCAGGCCGAATGTTGCAGATCCTCTGTGGTTGTTTGTAAGGGCAAACAACTGCCGTGGTGCAGCAAGATTGGTAAATTCAGGACTTGTTCATAAACACTAGGGGGCGCTTGTCGAGTAACTTCGAATGTTCACTCAGGGAACACTCATAACCCGGGGATTACCTGTACTTACATTAAAGTCTTCATATTGCACTTTTTCCTCCTCTTCTTGTTTTGTGTTTCTGGGAGGTGCTGTACCGGCCACAGCCTCAAGAAGCACTTCTGAGTTCGGTCCTGATTTCTTCGGTCTCGTTTCCAGGCCATCATCACTTTGTGGGCTGAGGTGAGTATCTGGAGGAGAGACGCCGTGGGATTTGTGGGTCCGGGAAAGCTCGATTGCAAGCCTCTTCATTTTTTTTAAGCAAGTAAGCAAAAAAAAAAAAGAGAGAGAGAGAGAAGAAAAAACAAAGATGACACTTAGAAGTTGTGTTGATGGGCTTTCTGAAAGCAGCGAGAGCAGGACCCGACCCAAACTAACATGTTCTAATTTGGGAGCATCACTGGTACAAGAATCCTCTGTAAAGATGATACCGAATCAAGTATTTTTCTAAAAGTTTTGAAATGATTAACAATTTAAAAGTAGTTAAAAGGGATGATTTAATAATGGGAAACCACGAAGGAGTAAAAAACAACTGATATTGGGAAATCAAAAGGGGGGAGGGGGAAATTCTGAACTCTGAGGAAGATGGGCGGTTAAGAAATAAAAAATATTAATAAACATAGTTAAGCAAAAAGTGTCTCAGTAGCATATGCATGAAAAGTGGCTGAATTATATACAGAGTTTAGGTACAAAAAATGATTTAGGTAATTATGACATTGTCTTAAGAATATGGATCATGCATTAATCTAAGTAAAATTATTTTAAAATGTGTACGTAAAAACACATGTCTGCATTTCAAAGATTAAATAATCTTATGTCATCTGTTCATAACTAACTGTTCTGACCCCCCTCCGTCTGGTGATTAACGCCGACACAGGCTTACTGTTAGCCACACTTTATTCACAGCAACTACTCATAGGCAAGATGTTGGCAGCAACCCGGACTCCCACAGATAAGAGATACAATACACACAAAAGCTTCTCCAGCTTGGTATGAATGGTTGTGTCCTGCAAAAGGTCTCCTCCCAAAGTATCTTCTTATATACCTTCTTGGGAGAAGCCAAGCCACAACCACCTGGGCTTGATTATCTCTTATGAGTCTGTCTCCATAACTGCTGCCTCCGTTTCTCTGCCCTCCGTTGCCGGGCATCAGGGACAAACACTCTTTGATCTTCACCGCTGCTCCAGTGCCTGACGTTAGGGACAAACTCCCTTTGATCTTCCTTGCTACTCCAGTACCGCACGTCAGGTACAAACTCCCTTTGATCTTCCCCACTGCTCCATGCCTCAGGCGCCTCCTGGTGGCCAACCAGCCTCCCTGGTCCTTGCTCGGAGTCTGAACCCTGCCCAGGGTCCTCCACATCCTCCATAGCTGACTCATAGGGTTCCTCACTATCGGAGTCCATCTGCAGCTCCAATGGCTCCTGCTGGGCCACAACAACTAACTATCCAAACATCAAAAAACCAAGAAAGGGTAGAGGAATGAGTGGCAAAATCTCCCAGAGGCCTGAAATGATGATCTGAGCAATCCTTGGGAGATTTCT